TTGTTAGGAAGTTGAAGATCCATCTCCCCACTTTCCCAGTTATTCCTTTAGCACGTATTTTATGGGCTATTACGCCATGATATATATATAAATATATATATATTATATATATATATATATATATATATTTATATATATATATAATATATATATATATATTATATATATATATATATATTTTATATTATATATATATATATATATATAATCTTCAGCACACCTGCCACCACTTACCAACACAACACTACCACTCCTACAGCAAGGCGATGACTCATTGGGTTACTACTTTCAATACTTACCTAGCATGATGTGATACTTACCTAGCATGATGTAATACTTACCTAGCATGATGTAATACTTACCTAGCATGATGTAAGAGGTTGTGGTCATTACCCATATATCGTCACTGAGTTATTTCTCGTGTATAATAGTATTTGAGTCATGAAGATCATTTCTTCTGGCGAATCCGAGTAGACTCCAGACTAATTTTTTCTCTAAATTCCATAAGTGAAGTTACCCTGGTTGTTAGGTATTGTACCTGATCACCCTGGCTATTAGGTAATGTACCTGATTGCCTTGGTTAAGTATCGTACCCGATTACCCTAGTTGTTACCCTGGTTGTTAAATATCGTACTTGATTACCCTGGTTGTTAAGTATTGCACCTGATTACCACCTGGCTGTTAGGTGTCGCACTTGATTACCACGGTTGTTAGGTATAGCACCTGATTACCCTGGTTAAGTGTCGCACCTGATTACCCTGGTTAAGTGTCGCTTTGATTACCTCCCATTTCGAAGTTGTTTTTTCAGGCTTAGTCTTGATTATTATTTTTATTATCATTGTCACCATCATCTTATCATTGTCACCATCTTCATCTAATTATCATTGTCATCTTATCATTGTCACCATCGTCGTCTCATCATTGTCACCATCGTCGTCTCATCATTGTCACCATCGTTATCTTATCATCACTGTCACTATCCTCATTATTTTAAATTGGTCTAGTGTTTACCACCGCTTTATTCTGGATATTCGTGAACAAGTTGTCATGGTACAGGAAGTTGCTACTACTAGCACCTTTCACTATTTTTCACAGATCTGGGATCAAATAATGACCGGAAAATTACTAGGAGAGTGTTTCGGGGGTCACTGCCCCCACAGTCCAGTCCAAGACCAGGTCGCCTGGTGGAAGGCCTGATTAACCAGACTGTTGGTGCTGGGCGCACGTGGTTCAAGGTATGCACTACAACCTGGCTGATCAGGAACTGACTTGAACTTAACAAGTTCCCTCTTGAAGACATTTAGATTGCATTCGTTCTTGGCGTAACTTCTTGATAATGAGAATATGTTCGGAGGGTGGGGGTAGAGGGGAGCATACCAGCTCACAACAGTTAGGAATGGACACGGATGGGAACATACCAGCTCACAACAGCCAAGTATAGACACGGAGGCGAACATACTAGCTCACACCAGCCAGGTATGGACACGCCCGTAGCAACTATTGATGGGGTTTTAGCATCTTGGAGTCAGCCATGTTCAGCATTGCAGATGAAGGAGCTGGTTGATTATTCTATGTATATCCTGCATTATAGTCCCTCCAGGGCGAGGGAGGGAGAGGCGTGGCGGGTGAAGGGCAGGCTGGAAGGAATGGAAGCTGTTGTTTGGTGGGTGAGGAGGAATATATGAAGTGTGTTTGGACGTCTCAAAAGGATGGAAATGTTTGTTTGGTGGTTGAGGTAGTACAAGGAAGGGTGTTTGGACGTCTCATAGGAATGGTTGTTTGGTGGGATTGGAGGAAGAATGTTTAGGCTTCTCAAGGCAATGGTAAGGGATGGAAATGATTGTTTAGTGGAAGGGGAGGGATTGAAGGGTGTTTAGGGATCTCGAGAGGATAGTAAGGGATGGAAATGTTTAGTGAGAGATGGTGTTGTGGGAAGGGTGTTTAGAAGAAAGGAATAATGAATGAAAATGGGGAAACAGATGTGTCTGCTTACTTGTAATCTACCTGTAGTCGATTCTGGGGGTCACTGCACCCCATGGTCCGCTCCCAGACGTGGTTGATGACCTGATCAATCAAGCAGTTGCTGCTGGCCGCACGCAGTCCAACTTGACGCCACAACCTCGATGGCGTTGAGCTTTGTATGGGAGGGGGATGAATAGATAGGCATCTAACTAGAGCTGTGAGGAGAGAAGATGGAGCTGTAAGGGGAAGCTGATGCTGGGGATGTGAGGGGGAAAGATGGAGAGGGAGGAGAAATGTAGGGAGAGGAAGGAGAGATGTAGGGAGAGGAAGGAGAGATGTAGGGAGAGGAAGGAGCGATGTAGGGAGGGGAGATGTAGGGAGAGGAAGGAGAGATGTAGGGAGAGGAAGGAGAGATGTAGGGAGAGGAAGGAGCGATGTAGGGAGAGGAAGGAGCGATGTAGGGAGGGGAGATGTAGGGAGAGGAAGGAGCGATGTAGGGAGGGGAGATGAAGGGAGAGGAAGGAGCGATGTAGGGAGAGGAAGGAGCGATGTAGGGAGAGGAAGGAGCGATGTAGGGAGAGGAAGGGGCGATGTAGGGAGAGGAAGGAGCGATGTAGGGAGGGGAGATGAAGGGAGAGGAAGGAGCGATGTAGGGAGAGGAAGGAGCGATGTAGGGAGAGAAAGGGGCGATGTAGGGAGAGGAAGGGGCGATGTAGGGAGAGGAAGGAGCGATGTAGGGAGAGGAAGGAGCGATGTAGGGAGAGGAAGGAGCGATGTAGGGAGGGGAAGGAGCGATGTAGGGAGAGGAAGGAGCGATGTAGGGAGAGGAAGGAACGATGTAGGGAGAGGAAGGAGCGATGTAGGGAGAGGGAGGGGAGCTAGCTAAAAAAATTTGCACTGTCCATTTGTTCAATATGTTCTCCTTACATCCTATATTTCCTTGTTTCACTTTATTACTCCATAACACCTCCACCTGCCTCTCATAACACCTCCACCTGCCTCTCATAACACCTCCACCTGCCTCTCATAACACCTCCACCTGCCTCTCATAACACCTCCACCTGCCTCTCGTAACACCTCCACCTGCCTCTCATAACACCTCCACCTGCCTCTCATAACACCTCCACCTGCCTCTCATAACACCTCCACCTGCCTCTCATAACACCTCCACCTGCCTCTTGTAACACCTCCACCTGCCTCTCGTAACACCTCCACCTGCCTCTCATAACACCTCCACCTGCCTCTCATAACACCTCCACCTGCCTCTCATAACACCTCCACCTGCCTCTCGTAACACCTCCACCTGCCTCTCGTAACACCTCCACCTGCCTCTCATAACACCTCCACCTGCCTCTCATAACACCTCCACCTGCCTCTCGTAACACCTCCACCTGCCTCTCGTAACACCTCCACCTGCCTCTCATAACACCTCCACCTGCCTCTCATAACACCTCCACCTGCCTCTCATAACACCTCCACCTGCCTCTCATAACACCTCCACCTGCCTCTCATAACACCACCTGCCTCTCATAACACCTCCACCTGCCTCTCATAACACCTCCACCTGCCTCTCATAACACCTCCACCTGCCTCTCATAACACTTCCACCTGCCTCTCGTAACACCTCCACCTGCCTCTCGTAACACCTCCACCTGCCTCGTAACACCTCCACCTGCCTCTCGTAACACCTCCACCTGCCTCTCGTAACACCTACACCTGCCTCTCGTAACACCTCCACCTGCCTCTCGTAACACCTCCACCTGCCTCTCGTAACACTTCCACCTGCCTCTCGTAACACCTCCACCTGCCTCTCGTAACACCTCCACCTGCCTCTCGTAACACTTCCACCTGCCTCTCGTAACACCTCCACCTGCCTCTCGTAACACCTCCACCTGCCTCTCGTAACACCTCCACCTGCCTCTCGTAACACCTCCACCTGCCTCTCGTAACACCTCCACCTGCCTCTCGTAACACCTCCACCTGCCTCTCATAACACCTCCACCTGCCTCTCAAGGCAGGTCTGGAGTTTACCTGGAGAGAGTTCCGGGGGTCAACGCCCCCGCGGCCCGGTCTGTGACCAGGCCTCCTGGTGGATCAGAGCCTGATCAACCAGGCTGTTGCTGCTGGCTGCACGCAAACCAACGTACGAGCCACAGCCCGGCTGGTCAGGAACCGACTTTAGGTGCTTGTTAGGTGAAAACTTTATTATAATTTTGTGTCTAATAAACACAGAGCCTTAACACAACTATTACCCGTGTTCCAGAGCTGACAATATTTAAGTTCGATAAGAGGATTGAAAGCTATAATTTACAAGTGAAAAATATAGTTAAATTATCTTAAGGAAAATATGATACACTCAAGTGTCAGTTGTGCGGTAGTTAGAGAAAAAGTCTCAATAAGTTTGGCATAGCTATGGGCACTAGTTGTGTGTGGCCACAAGACAGATGCAAAAAGTAGCTTCTGCTAGCCTCTTGGTTAATTGCAATCTTAGCCAGGCCTTCAGAAGTACGAGGCCATTCAGACATGGGTAACAATGATGGAAATCCTGAGAGGTACATTTCTTGCAAAAAAATAGGAGAAAATAACATTAGAATAAATTAAGGGTTTTAGAATACAAAGGTTAAATATATTTAATACATTATAAGCAAGACTTTTATCTTATATTTTGGGCCACCCTGCCTTGGTGGGATAAGGCTGGTTTGTTGAAAGATTATAAACAAGATGCATTATCTTAATAACATAGGGTCAGTTTTGTTATAGAGGTACTATGGTCTTGTTTTGGAAAAGTATATTATATATTGGTCTATTACGTGCATAATATGGCTATTTTAATCATGGGAAGTGCTTAACATTTAAAGTTATGCAACATCTAGGGAACAAGAGTCAATTTAGTTGGATCCAAGTACCCAAGGAGAGGCGAGCTCTAATTCCTTGCATTAAAAGCACTTCACCAGTAAGCATTCCCTAGAATGGTACAGCATGTACACTAATAAATACCAATGGGAAAAAAATTATTACAGTGATTAAATAAATTTGCCTTTTAACAAGAAAAACAAGAATGAATGGTTTTTATTAATAAACAAATCTTATACATTTGAACAATTCCATATTCTTCAATCATCCTATTAAATATGGATTTTTTTTCTGGAGAAACACAGAGCATAAGATATAAAAATTAATAAGAATAGTGTAGTTGATATCAACATTGGAAACTTCTCTGAGTTGCCATGTCCTCCAGGAGAATTCGAAGTTCCTCATCTTCAAATCGTCCCTCCAAACTTGGAATCAGAGCCTTTGCTTCTTCAGGAGTTTCTGGACATAAGTTGGCCAATGCAGCCAGTTCAAACTTATGCAGCTTCTTCTGGTTTAGCAACTCACGAATTGCCTTTATTGTTGTTCTGTTCTTGAACTTTGAAAACCTCTCACAGTAGTTGAGAGTTTTCATAAACCTCTCATTCAATTCCTGTTCTTCCTCTGCATTTTCGTTAGTTTGCTTACGATGTTCAAGCAGCATCTGAACTTCCGAGATCAGCAGGGTCTCAGCCTTTTCGAACTCTTTTGGGAACTGGAGTTCGGTAGCATCTTCCTCAGTTGTATCAGTGCTGCACTGAACCTCAGCCATGATAACTTCACAATAATAGTGAAAAGAGAGGAGTACCACCATCCAGCCAGCTCTTCCGAGCCTCTCTCTCTCTTCCGAGCCTCTCTGTCTTGTCTAACTAATTTATTAACTTTCTTCAGTAAAGCTTTTGAGGCTGTTGACCACAATAAAGAATTTGATATTATTTGCTTAGATTTTAGTAAGGCTTTTGATAGAGTTCCGCACCATAGACTGTTAAAGAAAGTGGCAGCTCATGGCATTGGGGGAAAAGTGCTCTCGTGGATCGAGTCATGGCTCACTGACAGGAAGCAGTGTGTCCATAAATGGGGTTAAGTCCGAGTGGGGATCTGTAACAAGTGGCGTTCCACAGTCTTGGGCCCGTTGTTGTTTATAATATATATCAATGATCTTGATGAGGGAATTACTAGTGATATGAGCAAATTCGCCGATGACACAAAGATAGGTAGGATAATTGATTCAAACGTAGATGTTATGGAACTTCAGGAGGATTTAAACAAACTCTATTCTTGGTCAGAAAAGTGGCAGATGCAGTTCAATGTAGATAAATGCAAGGTTCTGAAGCTTGGGAGTGCCCATAACCCTAGTACTTATAAGTTAAATGATGTAGAACTTAGCCATACAGATTGCGAAAAGGACTTGGGGGTTATGGTGAGCAGCAACCTTAAACCAAGACAGCAATGCCTAAGCGTACGTAATAAGGCAAGTAGATTACTGGGATTTATATCGAGAAGTGTAAGCAACAGAAGTCCAGAGGTCATACTGCAGCTTTATACATCATTAGTAAGGCCTCACCTAGATTATGCAGCTCAGTTCTGGTCTCCGTATTACAAAATGGACATAAATTCGTTAGAAAACATTCAGCGTAGGATGACTAAATTAATACATAGCATTAGAAATCTTCCTTATGAAGAAAGATTGAAGACTCTTAAGTTACATTCACTTGTTAGACGAAGAATGAGGGGAGACCTGATCGAAGTGTATAAGTGGAAGATAGGTATTAATAAAGGGGATATTAATAAGGTCTTGAGGATGTCTCTCCAAGAGAGAACCCGCAGTAATGGATTTAAATTAGATAAGTTTAGATTTAGAAAGGACATAGGAAAGTATTGGTTTGGAAATAGGGTAGTTGATGAGTGGAACAGTCTACCTAGTTGGGTTATTGAGGCTGGGACTTTGGGTAGTTTCAAATCTAGGTTGGATAAGTACATGAGTGGGAGGGGTTGGATTTGAGTGGGACTTTCACATCAGAGCTTATTTCTTGGGTGGCATTGAAAATTGGGTTGGTCAAATGTTTTGTTAGTGGGATGAATTGTAAAGGACCTGCCTAGTATGGGCCAGCAGGCCTCCTGCAGCGTTCCTCCTTTCTTATGTTCTTATGTTTATAACACCTCCACCTGCCTCTCATAACACCTCCACCTGCCTCTCATAACACCTCCACCTGCCTCTCATAACACCTCCACCTGCCTCTCATAACACCTCCACCTGCCTCTCATAACACCTCCACCTGCCTCTCATAACACCTCCACCTGCCTCTCATAACACCTCCACCTGCCTCTCATAACATCTCCACCTGCCTCTCATAACACCTCCACCTGCCTCTCATAACACCTCCACCTGCCTCTCATAACACCTCCACCTGCCTCTCATAACACCTCCACCTGCCTCTCATAACACCTCCACCTGCCTCTCATAACACCTCCACCTGCCTCTCATAACACCTCCACCTGCCTCTCATAACACCTCCACCTGCCTCTCATAACACCTCCACCTGCCTCTCATAACACCTCCACCTGCCTCTCATAACACCTCCACCTGCCTCTCATAACACCTCTACCTGCCTCTCATAACACCTCCACCTGCCTCTCATAACACCTCCACCTGCCTCTCATAACACCTCCACCTGCCTCTCATAACACCTCCACCTGCCTCTCATAACACCTCCACCTGCCTCTCATAACACCTCCACCTGCCTCTCATAACACCTCCACCTGTCTCTCATAACACCTCCACCTGCCTCTCATAACACCTCCACCTGCCTCTCATAACACCTCCACCTGCCTCTCATTTACATAGTTTACTACATAATCCCTCTGTAAAACTGCCCTTTTTGCCATGTTTACAATTTAATCCCATTTGATTATCCGTCTCGTTCTATTTCCTCACACCATACTTACACTCTCTCTCTCTCTCTCTCTCTCTCTCTCTCTCTCTCTCTCTCTCTCTCTCTCTCTCTCTCTCTCTCTCTCTCTCTCTCTCTCTCTCTCATCATCAAATATAAATTGAATCAGGCTTTTAGATTTATTGAATAAAATTACAATAAAATTCAGGATTTTGAAAGAGAAAAATATAAAGTTTAAATAGAGAGAATTATTTCAGTTAAAATATGTTACAGCGTAGAGGAATATAGAGAATTTAGAGTGATGGGTCACTCCGTGGGCTCTTGGTCCAAGGAGTGGGAGCTTTTCCTCGTCCTCCTTGGATCTGACCTGGTTACCTCCCATTCCCCAATAGTTGTACGTTATGGGTTGAGTGCTTCCCCATAATAATAGAAATAATGATAATAATAATAATCGTAATAAAAGTGACACATAACGTTAAGGACTATGAAGCAAGGACACAGGTGCAAAACAGTCTCTTACTGTGGCAACATTTCGCTTTGTGTTGAGCTCTACGCCGAGCGAAGCGTCACAACGGAGGCTTGTTGTGCACCCGTCTTGTGTTCAGTAGTGTTATGCAGTGCACTGCTGTGCTCGTCGAGAATCATAGTCGCTCTTAGACTCTTCCAGAGTGACAGCAAGAGAAATATATCTGAAAATGACAAACTAGAAGATTAAATAATGCGCTTTTAACTGAAGTGTACCTGGAGGGGGGGAGGGTGTTCCAGGGGTCAGCGACCCGGTCCATGACCAGGCTGACTCTAGAGAATTCTTGAAGTATTTTCTGGGTAAGATAATGGTGAATGTAACGATGGGACTTTTGACCGTGACGGTAGAATGTTAGGATGGGACCTTTGACCATGACGGTAGAATGTTACGATGGGACCTTTGACCGTGACGGTAGAATGTTACGATGGGACCTTTGACCAGGACGGTAGAATTTTACGATGGGACCTTTGACCATGACGGTAGAATGTTAGAATAGGACCTTTGACCATGACAGTAGAATGTTAGGATGGGACTTTTGACCGTGACGGTAGAATGTTACGATGGGACCTTTGACCGTGACGGTAGAATGTTACGACGAGACTTTTGACAGTAGAACAACAAAAGTGATGAAGCAACGACTGTTGTATTCTACGCTGCATTCAGTTTCGTTTTACAGTTTTCTGTAAGACGAGCTTACCCAGGTATCAATTTTTTTTTTAAGCCTCAAAACTGGTACACTAAATATGAGGAAAATTTTCATCCATAGCACTGATACTTGTACTGACCAGGCTTAGGCAGGCTACATATATATTTGACGCTGTCATATACAGGCAGTTATATTGTCAGAGTAGATGTAAAGTATCCAATGCTTTGTTGAACTCGACACCTTGTGCTTGCACAATTTATTAAATTTTTGTGCCTAAATTACATAGAATTAGGCAAAAACCAGGCGAGTCTGGCCCAAGACCGGAACTTGTCAAAGGTAAATAGCTATATAAAATGGATTTTGTGTGTGTTTTTTCATAAAATGTATTATATAGGGTGTAGAGAAAGGCCAACACAGTTCGTATATTTATTACGAAAGAAACTCTATGAAAAAAGAATCAGAGCAGTTTAATAAATGAAAATTACAAAATCTCACAACCTTCAAGATACTAATATGCGTGATAAATCCGAAGCACAGGGTGATTCCATTATATGTAACGAGGGTGTAAAACTGCATAGCGAACCCATGTCAACACTGGAACTGAATGAACATTAAAATGGTATAAAATACCGACAGGTTGTTAGGTAAGACACATATGCAACAGTTAGGTATCTTTATTATGAAACGTTTCGCCTACACAGTAGGCTTCTACTGTGTAGGCGAAACGTTTCATAATAAAGATACCTAACTGTTGCATATGTGTCTTACCTAACACTGGAACTGAATGCTCGCCGATGCTGTAGTGCAAATACAATACTGTACAATACTCTAAGAAACTAATAGACAAGCTCTTTGCAAATATCGGATTTGACTGAATAGTGAAGAGGCTTTTCTAAGTGCAGAGAATCCTCTTCCCAAGGGTTTACTGTGGTAGGTGAAGGAAAGTTAAATCAAGCAGGTCTTCTGCAGTCTTGAGTGAAATCTTGATGTTATTTCTTGGACTACCAAGATACACAAAACCATAGGTTATCAAGAACATTATAGCAGTATTAATGTTAGTGTTGCTGGTAATAGTATGGGGAGGGAAGGCATTAGATACTTGTTAGTTTCGTGTTGAAGTTCCATGCAAGTCTTTCCACGTGGCTTCAATGTGTCCGGGGATGTGGAGGGAAGGAGTAGAGCTTTACCCTATACAGTACTGGTATGACCTCGTCTGTCTAGATAGATTGATTTTTAGATTTTGCCACCGAAGTGGCTAGTTTATTGTGCACTCCATATCCATCCTGTGGAAGGTAGCGCGAGAGCATGTGGATACACAAAAGGCCTAGGAACTAGGCCCCAAAGGGTTAACAGGAATACATATGGATTTATATCTACATATCTATAGTTCACTTAAATGTTACAAGCAAATTTAGGAAATTTGCTTAGTATATCTGGTATCTTATTTTCATTTATAAGATATCTTGACATGTCACATAGGTTATTATACTGTCTGTCTCTGTATTCCTCAATAAGTGGACAATTAAGCACATAGTGTTCAAGAGAGTGACCATATGCCTGATCACATAATTTACATTTAGGTTGATCATCATCTGTGTGTCTCCCAAACTGCCAGAAGTACTTGTAACCAAGCCTAAGCCTGGCCACTACAACATCAGTCAGTCTGTTCACATTGCAAGTTGCTCCATAAACATAATTATCTACGTTCATGTTATCATAGTGTCTAGATAGAGGAACGACACAAGCCGTAATACTTTTTAATCTGTCTGTCCCTCT